CATGCCCAGCAGAGGCTCTGTGGGAACTGCCAGGGGGACATGGCCAAAGAGCAGGGACAGCCCTGGGCACTGAGAGACCCCAGGGGATGGGGTCCTGCGAGAATGGTGGTCTTGGTGGGCACCAGAAAGTGGGCCGTGATAGGGCGCACAAAACCAGGGTGCTGGAGGAAGGCTGAGGGGACAACAAACTTTGTGTGGTCAAAACAGGCATCCAAAAGGGGAAAGGTGAGGAGGGAAAACACATTTTCTGTAGCTTAGCTGAATAAACAGAAAAGGGGAAAAAGTCAATGCATGACCACTTGCAGGGGCAAGTCTCTGCTCACTTCAAGAGACCCCGGCTTTCTTATCCGTTTTGCTCCTTTGGCAGCCAAAATTAAACCCAACCCTACAAAACAGAGGAGAGCAGAAACCATTAACACTTGGGGAACAGACTGCTGCATGTCAGGATCAGAAGACTGGTGGTGGAAGAGAGTGCAGGGAACAACCAGGGAGAGCCCTGAGCAGCAGAGATGGCATTAAAAACACCCTGGCATGGGCTCCAGAAGCCCTGAGTGAAAATAAGTCTCCAAACTGTGTCAAGATGTTCCTCCTCTGAAGATACCAAGTGAAAACTGTCATTTACATAGCTAGGAGATGCCACGCAAAGCAGAAGAGAGGGTGAAAGGAGTGATCACAGGGTGCTTTGCTTTTATTTTGTGATTCATTTCTCAAAAGCTAGTGCTACCCCTCGTCTTTTTTTTTTCCCTTCTTAAAGGAGGGAAACTTTAAAAGAAATTGCAGAAGGCAATTAAAATATCTAAAGTAGTTTACTGTATAAAACAAGCACATGGGAGAACTCTTAATGGCAAAACATCAAATATCTGTGTCCTAAAGTGCTGTAGGTTTTTTTTCCCCCCATGCTGCGCTTTGTTAACACGTCTCTTGCACGCGTGCCCGGCTGCTGCAGCGAGCTCAGTGACAGGGACAGGAAATCTAAAGCTAATGGAGAAAGGGGGGACTACCAACCTGTAATTTATTTTCATGATTTCTAGAATGTTATAATTGAATGATACTAACATTGTGTGCTAAGGGATGGTTGGACACTGGCGTTGGAGAGACCTTCCCAGTCACAAACACTGCAAAGATTCCCCCCCGTGTTCTGCAAACACACGCACAGAGGCATACCCAGTGCCATTTGTCCCCAGCACTCAGGCTACAGATCCACGGTTCCCTATTTCCCAAACTCTTTCTTGATCAGTATCACAACTTGTAGCTGTATACAAAACTAGGATACCTTCAGTTACCTCAAAAGCAGACACACAAAAATCAGGCTTTTAGGTCTGCAGACTCCTAAGAAGAAGACAGAATCTGCTGTTTGCCCCAGACAATTCAGCCAGGATTCCCCAGGGCCTCACAGTCAGGCTAATGAGAAATTCCCCAGCAACCCCCATGTAAAATGCTTTCATAGGTCTTTAAAATGCCTTAAATTCTCTATATATTTAGTAAGACTTTTTACGTCTTTAAAACGTCCCTTGTTGCTCCTCAAGATAATACTCTTGTGATGTATTACAACAGCAATGCAGCATTGTCTGGCTGGACCCTTGCTTTGCAAATATTGAATCTTATTTTCCTCTTGGCTTCGAAGCAGCTAGAAAACCCTTTTGCAAAGCAGAGGTGACCACTTGCCCAGCCCACCCTCTCTGATGCTTTCAGAGCAAGATGGACAGGCTTCAAGGGCAGCATGTGCTGTTAAGAGGGAAAAGCAGGGGGAAGGAGAACTCAGCTGTGCTCTTCCTCTGGGATAGAAAACATCTCTGCCTCTTACATCTCTTACACAGCAAAACACTACTGACTTGCTATTTAACAGCAAGTAAGTCCTCAGATTAAGAGGAGAAAGGAAAAGCCTTTTCTCTTCCTTTTACATTAAGGAAAAAAATATTTACAAGACCTGAAGAGGAAGGAAATTCGCTATATGCCCATTGTTAAACAGGGCTGGTGGACACCCAGATTATTTACCCTGGCGCAAGGGCAGCCTGTGTATCCTTATACATTTTCCTGATTCTCTAGGTTAATGCGTACAGCCTTTAAGTTGTGGTCATTTAAAAAAAAAAAAAAACCACAACAAAGAAACCCCATAACCCCCACAAACCTAACATAAAACTATTTCTAGTTGTATTTAAATTACTTGAGTAAATTCCTCAGTGCAACTATGCCGAGGGTTGGACTCCTGCAAAACATTTCACTTTGGCAGGTTTTACCAGGACCAAGCAGTTAAGCCAGAGCAGACAGCAACTTGCACACATGCTCAGCCATAGGAAAAAGGATGGTGCCCTGCACTAACCCATCACGAACAGACCCACCCGAGCATGGGATTTCTGTTGCCAATGTGTCCATTGCCAAAATTCCATGAGCTGCACTAAGCAGCTCCTGCGAGCGCAGCCCCTTGCCCAGTGCCACGGTCCAGTGAGGGATGCACAAACCGTCCACCTTCAGTACGCTTCAGTAGCGGAGAAGCCCACCATGAGACACAGAGCTTGGACCCCAGGGTTTGACATGTCTTGCCCTGCACCTACAAATGCTTACACCTGACCTGGGGACAGGCAGCTGTCACAGCTACCTGGACAAGCTCCGTGACTGCAGATTCAACTCATCCTCTCAAAAAAAAAAAAATTCCAGGATAGCTTCTCCAGGTTTGATGAACAAAATAAGATAGAGCAACAAAAGCACCTTCTCTCCCCACAACTGCATCTACATAAATTCTTTGCTAGTATTAGAAAAAAAAAAAAGAAAGAAAGAAAAGTTAAAAAATTACATTCTACCTGCTCTTGCTGTCCCTATGTACCACACCACCCTGGGACCATCACTCCCCCGGCCCACAGCAGCTGCACAGAGTGCCAGCAGAATTTTTCAGAAGTCACTTTGTATGTGTTCACACACACACAGAGATGTACAAACACATACAGGAGAAGAAGGGAGAGAAATATGTTAATTTGAAACATCTGGCAAATGTTTCAGTTAACAAGTCGCGGGTTTGG